CTCACCTACTCACAGTGACTTGTTGTCTTCTGTTGCTTAAGTACTTCCTTATCCACTTGAGTAATTTCCCTGTTACTCCCACCTGCTTCTCCAGCTTACACATTAGTGTTTAATAGGAAACTGTGTTAAAGGCTTTTTGTCACTCTTAAAAATATGCAGTCTGCCACCATGTTCTTTCTTCTCTAATTTGTGTCACAGGGTCATAGAATTCTAATACAACTGTGATGAACCTATGCTGGTGATGTGTTACAATGTTCCTTCTCTCCTGGAGTTCTATTAGTTGTTCTCATAATGTTCTCCCTCACTCTGCATCGTATACAGGTTATGGACACTGGTCTGTAGCTCAATACCTCCTGTCTGTCTCCCTTTTTGTATATTTGGATTTATTAGCTGTCTTCCATGATTTTTTTTGAAGTTCCTGTTACCAGTGATCTATAGCGAGTAGCAAAGATAGTGTTTTTGCTTCTACTTTTAGTATCCATGGTGAGGTTCCATCTGGGTCAACAGCATTTGCTATCTCCAGCTCCAGCAGATACTTCCTTACCTCACCACTGGTAATCTCCAATTCCACCAGTGGTGCCTGGTTAAACAACCATCTACTAGTTCAAGAACTTCTCCTGCTCTATTGTGATAATTTCCTGGAAGTTCGAGTTCCTCGCATACCTCCTTGTTCAGAATTACATATCACCTGTGTAAATGCACATTAATGACACTATGTAAAAGACACATCGAACACTTTATGTAGGGCAGATGTAACTCTGTGTATTCACCTAGTTGAGCTTGCGGGGGTTGAGCTCTGCTCTTTCGGCTCAACTCTCAACTGTCAATCAATTAACAGTTACTAACTACTAACTTTTTTTTTCCACACACACACACACACACACACACACACACACACACACACACACACACACACACACACACACACACACACACACACACACACACACACACACACACACACACACACACACACACACACACACACTTGAGTGGTTTAACACAAGGGGCACACGCACTAGGGGACACGGGTGGAAACTGAGTGCCCAAATGAGCCACAGAGATATTAGAAAGAACTTTTTTAGTGTCAGAGTGGTTGACAAATGGAATGCATTAGGAAGTGATGTGGTGGAGGCTGACTCCATACACAGTTTCAAGTGTAGATATGATAGAGCCCAATAGGCTCAGGAACCTGTACACCTGTTGATTGACAGTTGAGAGGCGGGACCAAAGAGCCAGAGCTCAACCCCCGCAAGCACAACTAGGTGAGTACACACACACACACACACACACACACACACACACACACGCACTAGGTGAGCACACACACACACACACACACACACACACACACACACACACACACACACACACACACACACACACACACACACACACACACACACACACACACTCGAAGAGAGGCAGAAAGACAATACGAAAATGACATCGCAAGCAAGGCAAGAAAAACAACAGTAAAGGAACAGGTTATGAAATTAAGGATAGGGGCGGAAGGATTCACTACAAATGACAAGGAAGTGTGTGAGGAATTGAATAAGAAATTCCAAGAGGTCTTCACCTTAAAGCAAGGAGAAATTCCAGAGGTAAGTGTGGGAATAGCTAACCAGGAACCACTGGAAGAGTTTGAGATTACCAGCGGGGAAGTAAGGAAGTGTTTACTAGAGTTGGATGTGACAAAGGCTATAGGCCCAGAGGGAATCTCCCCTTGGGTTCTAAAGGAAGGAGCAGGAGAACTGTGCCTACCACTCTCCATAGTGTATAACAAATCACTGGCAACAGGGGAACTGCCAGATATTTGGAAAGCAGCTAACGTAGTCCCGATATACAAGAAAGGGGATAGACAGGAGGCACTGAACTACAGGCCTGTGTCCCTAACCTGCATACCATGCAAGCTGATGGAGAAGATTGTGCGAAAAAAACTAGTGGAGCATCTGGAGCGAAGGAACTTTGTAAAACAGCATCAACATGGTTACAGGGATGGCAGGTCCTGCCTCACAGGGTTACTTGAGTTCTACGACCAGGCAACAAAAATAAGGCAAGAAAGAGAATGGTGGTCAGACTGCATGTTTTTGGACTGTCAGAAAGCCTTTGATACAGTGCCACACAAGAGGCTAGTGCGAAAGTTGGAGACGCAGGCTGGAGTGAAAGGGAAGGTACTCCGGTGGATAGAGGAGTACCCAAGCAACAGGAGACAACGAGTCTGTGTGAGGGGTGAGGTCTCAGATTGGCGAGACGTTACAAGTGGAGTCCCGCAGGGGTCAGTCCTTGGACCTATACTGTTTCTAGTATATGTAAATGATCATCCAGAGGGTATAGATTCGTTCCTCTCAATGTTTGCCGACGATGCAAAAATTATGAGGAGGACTGAAACAGAGGATGATAGTAGGAGACTACAAGATGACCTAGACAGACTGAGTGAATGGTCCAACAAATGGCTGTTGAAGTTCAACCCGAGTAAATGCAAAGTAATGAAACTAGGAAGTGGAAACAGGAGGCCAGACACAGGATACAGAATAGGAGATGAAGTACTTAATGAAACAGACAGAGAGAAAGATCTAGGAGTTGATATCACACCAAACCTGTCTCCTGAAGCCCACATAAAGAGAATAACGTCTGCGGCATATGCGAGGCTGGCTAACATCAGAACGGCGTTCAGGAACCTATGAAAGGAATCATTCAGAATCTTGTACACAACATATGTAAGACTAATCCTGGAGTATGCGGCCCCAGCATGGATCCCGTACCTTGTCAAGCACAAGACGAAGCTGGAAAAAGTCCAAAGGTATGCTACTAGACTAGTCCCAGAACTAAGAGGCATGAGTTATGAGGAAAGGCTGCGGGAAATGCACCTTACGACACTGGAAGACAGAAGAGTAAAGGGGGACATGATCACAACACACACACACACACACACACACACACACACACACACACACATTCCTCTCAATGTTTGCTGACGACGCCAAAATTATGAGAAGGATTAAGACAGAGGAGGACAGCTTGAGGCTTCAAGAAGACCTGGACAAGCTGCAGGAATGATCGAACAAATAGCTGTTAGAGTTTAACCCAAGCAAATGTAATGTAATGAAGATAGGGGTAGGAAGCAGGAGACCAGATACAAGGTATCATTTGGGAGAAGAGATACTTAAAGAGTCAGAAAGAGAGAGAGAAAGACCTGGGGGTTGATATCACGCCAGACCTGTCCCCTGAAGCTCATATCAAGAGGATAACATCAGCAGCATATGCCAGGTTGGCTAACATAAGAACGGACTTTAGAAACTTGTGTACGGAATCTTTCAGAACATTATATACCACATATGTCAGACCAATCCTGGAGTATGCGGCTCCAGCATGGAGTCCATATCTAGTCAAGCATTAGACTAAACTGGAAAAGGTTCAAAGGTTTGCCACCATACTAGTACCCGAGCTGAGAGGTATGAGCTACGAGGAGAGACTACGGGAATTAAACCTCACTTCGTTGGAAGACAGAAGAGTTAGGGGGGACATGATCACCACATTCAAGATTCTCAAGGGAATCGACAGGGTTGATAAAGACAGGCTATTTAACACAAGGGGCACACGCACTAGGGGACACAGGTGGAAACTGAGTGCCCAAATGAGCCAGAGATATTAGAAAGAACTTTTTTAGTGTCAGAGTGGTTGACAAATGGAATGCATTAGGAAGTAATGTGGTGGAGGCTGACTCCATACACAGTTTCAAGTGTAGATATGATAGAGCCCAATAGGCTCAGGAACCTGTACACCTGTTGATTGACGGTTGAGAGGCGGGACCAAAGAGCCAGAGCTCAACCCCCCCAAGCACAACTAGGTGAGTACACACACACACACACACACACTCCATTTGGGAGAGCCTGCCGGCCGAACGGACAGCACGCTGGCACGTGATCCTGTGGTCCCTGGTTCGATCCCGGGCGCCGGCGAGAAACGATGGGCAGAGTTTCTTTCACCCTATGCCCCTGTTACCTAGCAGTAAATAGGTACGTGGGAGTTAGACAGCTGTCACTGGCTGCTTCCTTGGGTGTGTGTGTGTGGTGTGGAAAAAAATAGTAGTAGTAGAAATAGTTGATTGACGGTTGAGAGGCGGGCCGAAAGAGCAGAGCTCAACCCCCGCAAGCACAACTAGGTGAATACTACTAGGTGAATACACACACAGGAAGCAGCCCATAACAGCTGTCTAACTCCAAGGTACCTATTTACTGCTAGGTAATAGGGGCATCAGGGGTGAAAGAAACACTTCTCATTTTTGTTTCTCGCCGGCACCGTGAATCGAACCCGAACAACAGGATTACGTGCCCAGCGTGTTATCCACACAGCCACCGGCCCCCACCGCACGTTGTGTATCAATTTATTTATGTCTGTAGGTTTGATTAGCATTTTAAATGCAATACAATCACCTTCTGTGGTTGATTGTTCAATAAATCCCTGAACTATATGTTTAACAGATCTCTCACCCTGTCCATGGAGGACAGAGGAAAATATATATGCTGGTTAGCATTGTAAATGTGTGGCCACGTCTGTGGTAGAAAATAAAAATAATAATAATAAACTACCTCCTTGTCATTCTCAGTAAATCTGTCTATCCCTATTCTCAGAGTCAATAACTGTTATTTAACTGTTCTTTTTCTCCTGAAGCAGGTATGAAGAAATTTAGGTTGGGCCTTTGCTTCATTTGCTAGACATTTGCTACGCTGTACATAGAGGGAGGCCTCGGGACCCAGATGCCCAGATCACCAGGTCACCATTAGGTATATGTGTTACTTGAGATGATCATTCTCTCATGGAAGCGAGCTCTGTGACGGGTGTGAGAGCAGCTCCGGTTTCTGGGGGTTATATAGGAACCCTTGATGCCAGGCCGAGTCAAGGTACATTAAATCTCGAGAGGTTTATGGCTGTGAGTAGACTGTTTCCAGATGCCGCAATTCTCATGTGAACACCAGAGAATACAAAGGCCTAATGTTTCAAACTTCTGATGAAGACAAATGGTTGGGGTGGGGCTTGTAGCAGGTCTTATCCACTGACGGGGCGAATTGTACTGCCCTTATTACCAAGCAACCAACAGAGTGAAGGGTGAGGTGCTCCTCGTGGAGGCCTTCAAAGCGGTGCCAAGGGTAGGACCTGGGCATTTTAGCTGTGAGAAACAAGCATTCAGTGTAAGCTGTGCCCTCATAGGGCAGGTAAGTGTAGGGAGGCTTAAGGCCAAAGTGGGTATCTAAACTTAATAACTGGTTCCCATGGATTTACTTCAGATCTGCATTCTCAAGTAGGTACTTTTATCATGTTGTTCAAATGTAGTAAGCATTGTCAATTCATTTGCCTCGTTTGGGATTAAATAGTGAAGGATGTCACTTTTTTTCATTAATAAATTTACTTGTTAAACTGAATTCCTTGAGTATTAATCCCAACACTATACAAACTATATCATAAGATTCAAAACTCACATGCAATAACCTGTACAGCAAATGGATGCCTGAAGCTTCCATTGAGCATCTGCCATTTTGAAACAAATTCACAGCATGCCCCACGGGAACCGGTAAGCTCAGTTTCAAGTAAATAATCCTGACAAACAGACTTCTAGCTCTTAATCACCGATAGATGATTGAGAGCTTGATACATGACATTGTATTAAGAGGACCCTGATACTGATATTGATGACCCAACACCCTATAATGACCTAACGCAACGATCGGATACCAGTGATACGAACATAGATGTGGGCTATACAGTGAGCGTATCCTGCACGCAAATGAATCCTGCACCACCCCTGCCTTGGCGTCCCAGGTCAGCACCACTGCCACAGTATTTCTTATCACCACCTGTGCCACTGCCATTTCTGAACACCGTGAATATGTGGAAGATGATTTCTTCTGGGTTCAGTGACATTGGTTATGATACTAGTAGCCATCCGTCAATCCCGTGGAGTTATGGAGTTGTGCCCTGGGTGTCTAGTTGTTGGAGTCTAGTTGGATGCAGCGCCTGCTGTGGCTGTGAAGGCCAACCCGAGAATGACAGTCTCGACTGCAGCGAGCGCAGATAAACGCCGAAGCGGGTGCGTCTGACAGTGGTCGAGACCTTCTCTGAAATCTATTATCCTCCGCCTGCCTCTTCAGTTCATCCTCGAATTGCTGGAGTCCCTTCTGCACTTTACATCTTCAGGCAGATCTGTCCTCAGCTGCTGCCTCCCAAGTGTTGATGTCGATGTTCATCTGATTGAGGTCGCGTTCGCAGGCATCTTTGAAACTACTGAGGTCTTCTGGTGGGTCTCCTTCCTGATGCCAGTTCTCCATACAAGAGGTCCTTTGGTATGGTATGCGGCCATCGACCATGCGTGTGACATGTCCCAGCCATCGCAAGCGTCTCTGTTTCAGGAGAGTGAACATTGAAGGGACTCCAGTTCTCTCGAGTAGTGTTGTTGGTGACGTGGTCTTTCCACGTGATGTCAAGGATGCGTCTCAGGTTCCACATGTGAAAGGTATTAAGCCGTCTCTCCTGGCGAGAGCGCAGGGTCCAGGATTCCGAGCCGTAGAGAAGTGTACTCACCACACATGCCATGTAGACTTGTGCCTTGGTGTGCACTGTCAGTTTGGCATATTCCCAAATGCGCTTTGTGAGCCTGGCCAGTGTTGTTGCGGCCTTCCCGATACGCCTGTTGAGCTCAGTGTCCAGGGAAAGGGTGTCTGAGATTGTGGAGCCCAGGTACACAAACTCGTGAACTGCCTCCAGCACATAGTCTGCTATATTTACAGGGTAGCTCATTGACATCTTGTCCCATCACCTGTGTCTTCTTCAGGCTGATTGTCAGGCCGAATGCAGAACAGGCTGCGGCAAAGCGGTTGAGTACCTGCTGCAGGCCTTCTGCTGTGTGTGTGGTGACCGCTGCATCGTCGGCGAAGAGGAACTCCCTGAGGATTCGCATCTGTACTTTTGTCTTTGCTCGGAGTCTGGATAGATTATAGAGGTTTCCATCAGATCTTGTACGGAGATAGATGTCTTCTGTGGTTGTTCCAAAGGCATGCTTGACGAGGATCGCGAAGAAGATGCCGAACAGGGTTGGAGCAAGAACACACCCCTGTTTAACACCACTGTTAATGTTGAATGGTTCAGAAGTTGAGCCGTCGTACACGACTGCCCACTTCATGTCCTTGTGGAACGATTGTATTATGCTGAGTAGGGTGGGTGGGCAGCCAATTTTGGCCAAGATCTTGAAGAGTCCGTCCCTACTCACGAGGTCGAAGGCCTTTGTAAGGTCAATGAAGGCAATGTACAAGGCTTTTCTCTGCTACCTGCACTTTTCTTGAAGCTGTTTCAGGGAGAACACCATGTCAGTGGTCGACCTTTCTGCTCGGAAACCACACTGTGACTCGGGGTACACTCTTTCGGCAAGAATCTGAAGCCTGACCAAAACGACCCTAGCGAAGAGTTTGCCAACGACGCTGAGGAGGGATATGCTGCGATAGTTATTTACATCGCTTCTGTCACCTTTATTTTTGTAGAGAGTGATGATGTTTGCATCTCTCATATCTTGTGGCACCGAGCCCTCCCTCCAGCACTGGCATAGAAGTTCATGAAGCTCAGATTTAAGTGTTCCACGAGCGCACTTGAGAACTTCAGGCGGAATCCCGTCGTCTCCTGGGGCCTTCCCTGAGGAAAGTGAATCCACTGCTTTCTCAACTTCTTCCACAGTTGGTTCAAGATCAAGTTCTTCCATGATGGGCAGGCATTCAGTTGCATCCAAAGCCTCTACGCTGACCAAGTTCTCTCTGGAGTAGAGTTCGGAGTAATGTTCCACCCAGCGATTCATCTGTTGATCACAGTCTTTAATGATCTCTCCAGTGGCTGACTTTAGAGGAGCCGTCCGGTTTCTTGTAGGGCCTGTTGCCTGTTTGATCCCTTCATACATGCCTCTTATGTTGCCGACAGTGGCCGCAGTCTGGATGCTGGAACAGAGTCGAAGCCAGTAATCGTTAGCACAACGCCTCGAAGTTTGTTGAACTCTACTGCAGGCAGTACGGAGGGCCTGTAGGTTCCTTTCTGAGGGCAGGTTCTTGTAGGATGAGAGAGCTAGTCTCTTTTCCTCTACGAGGGGTAACAGTTCCTCTGCACTGGCCTCGAATCAATCTGCTGACTTGTTCTGCCTCTTACCGATGGTGGACATGGCAGTGTTGAAAATAGTGCCCCTGAGATGTAACCACCTCTCACTTGCACTATCGCAGGGTGGTACAGGAAGGGCATTTACCAGCGCCGCAGTGAATTCCTCCACCTTGTGAAGGTCACGGGTCTTGTTTACGTTAATGCGTGGTCTTCCCTCCTTCTTTGCTCTGTGGATTTTCTGGGGCTGGAACTTTACTCTGCAAACGACGAGAGAGTGGTCAGTGTCGCAATCTGCGCTCTGGAAGCTGCGGGTCAGTTTGACATTTCTCAGATTGTTACGCCCCGTAAGCACCAGGTCGAGTTGGTGCCAATGCTTAGACCTGGGATGTCTTCAGGAAATCTTATGCTGGGGCTTGGTGTCGAAGAAGGAATTGGTGATGCAGAGATCATGACGGCAGCAGAACTCCAGGAGGCGCTGCCCACTCTCATTCATCTTCCCAAATCCAAACTGGCCCAGGCTAGAAGACCAGGAACTGTGATCAAAACCAACTCTTGCATTAAAATCTCCCAGGAGGAAGACTGGCTCTTGTTGAGGTATGTCTCTGAGAGTTAGGCCGAGGTCATCATAGAACTTGTCCTTCGCTTCAGTAGAGGAGGTCAGTGTTGGTGCATAGGCATTGATGAGGCTGACCATTCCTGCTGCTGTATCGTTACTGGCCGACATTGTCCAGAATGATAGGAGCCGAATTTGCTCCACACGTCTCGGAGGTGACACAACAATGGCCCCCTCCTTCCTCCCTGACGCCTGGCCTACTTTGTCCAGATTTCAGAAAGTGATAGAAGGGTCACATTTACTCTACTTTAATATTGATAATTAAGTTAATTTATATAAGATGTTTTTATGATGGTAAAGTCCAAAGACTAATGTATTTAAGAATAATTCCCAGCAAAATAGCTGGTGAATTATAATAGTATGTGGTGATGATATCCCGTTTTCTATAGACGGTAATTCCACTACAAGTTACGTTTTCTATGGTTAACTTGTTTATACAACACAGCTATTATCTGTATGATATATTAAATGGTGTCGGATTTTCCGACATAATTCCCCAGGGGGCTGCTCACGGGTCGAAGTCCTCTTTAGAACAGACGAACACCGATACTCCTCCTTCGAATTATTAGATTAATTTGATGTTAGTAGTTAGTAATCACACATTTGTGTGTCTGTTCGTACAGGACGGATGTCCCGTACTAGAGTTGCAGGGGTTAGAAGTCTAATGCAATTTCATTTCCCTGTCAACTCTTGAAAGGCTAATATTCAAGCCTAATTACATATTATTTAACCCAGAAGACTGGATGTGATCAAGTACTACAGTCAAGTATGATTCAGGGACTGCAGTGAGATCAGTGACATCAGATATAACTTGAAGTTTGTTCAGGTAACTGGTCACTGATATATAAACACTGAGGCCCATGGAATACATCTTGATTAAATAATAAATGTATCAAATCAGTCATCAGATTTATTGGGGTTTAATTTAGTTAATTGATTCAGAAGATTGAATAGCTCATCATTAAAGTAAAGTATGGTTCTGAGACTGCAGTGGGTTCAGTGACATTGGTCGCAGTGACTTGTAGCTGTTTTAGGCTACTGTTCACTGATTTGCTACTGAGGCCTCATGAACTCATCTTCAGCTTCAAATGATGATACTAACATCAACCTCTGTTGGTATAGTCAGCTGTAATCTCCTTAGTATAATGCTACTGGAGAAATATAATCACCTGACAAATTTAGATTTCTACTGGTATTGTTTATCTGCAGGCATAGGGCTCCTCAGGCTTGATACTGGGCCTGAGAGTAATTTACCTCCTGCAGAGTTTAACATGGTTATACCCTGATATTTAGTAGGGCTACCGATGAATCGATGGTAGTAGTCTGTCCCCACAAGGACAGCCATTTGGCATTTGATTTGCTCAAATTTACCTGCAGCTGCTTGATAATAGCTTTCCAGGTCAGCATAATCAACTGTTGATTGTTGTGACAAATCTTCACATTTCTTGATCTGTCTTGTTAAGTGGCCTTTAAGACCTGCAAGGGTTCTTTTCATTCTCCCTGCATTATCCATACTGGCTAGTTGGTAAAGCCTTGTGGGACTTGTACTTGGGCTGCTCATAATACTGAACAAGCACTAATGATAGCCTAGGGTAAATTCTGCACTCACTAGGCAATAATCCTACCTCTACTAGAGGTTAGCACTTAAAATTAATACACATTATATATATACAATCATAC